CTCCTACTCCTACTCCTACTCCTACTCCTCCAACTCCTCCAACTCCTCCTCCTACTCCTACTCCTACTCCTACTCCTCCAACTCCTCTACTGCCCGAAGGAATCTGTCCGACAGTTGAACTCTGTGAAAAGGTTTGTGACGGGGGGCCGTCGCCAGCCACTCTGAAACCTCGCGCTGGTCTTCGAACTTGAACTTCGGCTTGTTCATACCTTCTGGTATGACGATGTTGTCCACATATTCCCTTTCAGCGTCAAACGTCCCCCTCCCCTCCCCTCCCCCTCCCCCCCCCTCCCTCCCCTCCTCGTCGTCGTCCTCCTCCTCCTCCTCCTCCTCCTCATCTTCCTATTTCTCCTTCTTCTGCTCCTCCTCCTCCTCCTCTTCCTCCTCCTCCTCCTCTACAATTACTCAATATGAAAATACTTTCCCTCTTCCCCTGATGGCGTCCGGGTGATGGCCGCGCACCCTCCGCGTACTGTTTTCTTACACACAGGATCCCCGGGAAATCCCGGGAAACGACTCTCGCTGAGGCGCTGGCGTCATTTGTTCCCAAAATGCTGCTCTCGTGGAGGCGCTGGCCTCATTTCTGCTCCCGAATCGTTCCGAATCGTGCTCCCGCTGCAGCGTGGGCCTCCAACTCCTTCTCCTCCTCCTCCTCCTCCTCCTCCTCCGCCGCCGCCGCAGCCTCTGCCTGCGCCTGCCCCATTCGCCTCCTCCTCCTCCTCCTCCTACTCCTCCTCCTCCTCCTCCTCCTCCTCATCGAACTCATCCTCCAACTCCTCCTCCAACTCCTCCTCCTCCTACTCCTCCTTCTCCTCCTACTCCGACTCCTGGCCCTACTCGTACTCCTCCAACTCCTCCTTCTCCTCCATCTCCTCCTCCTCCTCCTCCTCCTCCGCCTCTCCCCGCTCGCCCGCCGCCGCCGCCTCTGCCTGCGCCTGCGCCTTCGCCTCCTCCTCCTCCTCCTCCTCCTCCTCCTCATCCTCTCCTCCTCCTCCTCTTCCTCCTCCTCCCTCCTCCTCCTCCCGTACTACTCTTCTGTTCCTCCTCCTCTCTCCTCCTCCTCCTCCTCCCTCCTCCTCCCTCCTCTCCTCGTCCTCTCCTCCTCCTCCTCATCCTCCTCATCCTCCCTCCTCATCCTCCGCCTTCATCCTCCTCCTTCCCTTCATCCGGGCCGATCGCCTTCCTCCTCCTCGTCCTCCACCTCATCCTCCTCCACCTCCTCCTCCTCCTCCTTCTCCTCCTCCTCCTCCTCCTCCTCCTCCTCCTCCTCCTCCTCCTCCTCATCCCTTCGTTCGTCCGACCCGACTCTGCTGGGGCCGGGGGCAAAACTGCGGGAACCATGTCGCGGCGCCCCCATCATTGCACTCCGAGGCCGCCCCTCCCTCCAACCCCATCATGAACTTGCGGCGACCCGGACATAAAGAGCTTCACGATGTTGTCGAAAAACTTCATCACCTGCTGGCGCCGACCCTCATCGGTCCGCTTCCTCCCCAGACCTCGGGCGGATCGGATTGTTCGATGCAAGCCTTTTCCTTCGTGTTCGGCCTTCGAGGGCAGTTTTCGGGATCGGGCGTCATCTGAAACGGATCATGGACAAAAAACTGTCCGTGAGGAAGGGGTCCAGATCTCTGGGGCCCGCGAATGAGGAAAAAAAAAACTCCCCAAGCAGAGGCAAGCTCTGGAGAAGTGGCCATGACGTCTGGGAGCACCCCACCTACGGCCCCGCGGGGCTGAGCGTATACTAGGAGATCTGGCCTGGGTTTTGGCACGGTATGCGCTACGGCGCCGGATGGGCCGTAGCACAACATGGAGGTCCGTAGGTGGGGTGGTGTCGTTTGCTGGTCGGTCGACACATCGCTGCTCCAGCAGGTCCTGCATTCCCCCCCTGCCTCCCTTCTTCTCCCCTGCGCCTGGGCCACCGCCAGCTCGAGGGACGTTCTGTGTGAGATGGGCCGCCGCCCCGCCTCTGCTTTCCCCTCCAGAAGTCTGGACGGGCAGGCGGTATAGGTGGTACGGGAACGCCACCACCCACCTCCCTTTCAGCCACCTCTCTCCGTCCTCCTCCCTCCTCCTCGCCCCCACCCCCCTCCATCCTCCGCCCTTCCCCATCCGCCTCCGACCTCACCCTCCTGCTCCTCCGTCTCCGTCTCCTCCTCGTGCTCCTCCTCTTCGTCCTCCTCCTCCTCCTCCTCCTCCTCTCCTCCTCGTCCTCCTCCTCCTTCCTCCTCTCCTCCTTCCTCCTCCTCCTCCTCCTCCTCTCCTCCCTCCTCTCCTCCTCCTCCTCCTCCTCCTCCCCCTCCTCCGCCTCCTCCTCCTCCTTCTCATGACCCTCCTCCTAGTCATCATGATCCTCCTCCTCAAACTATGGTCACGATTGATATGATTCGTATGGTTCGTAGTATCCCTCTTAGAATTACTGCGAGTAGCCTTTATGATAAGTATTAGCTGCGTTGTTAGTAGCACTACTCACATTCGTCGTCGCATTACCATTGTGTATGCATTGTCAGTAACATCATTGATATGCGCGCTCGAAGTATGCATCATCATCATCATTCTCAGCAGCATCATCATCATCATCATCATCATCATCATCATCAGCAGCAGCATCATCATCATATATTCGTCCTCAACCTCACACGCAGACTCATCATCACCATCATCATCAGCAGCAACACCATCGTCACCACCAGCATCATCATCATCATCACCACCATCATCATCAGCATCAGCATCATCATCATCATCATCATCAGCATCATCATCATCATCATCATCATCATCATCATCATCATCATTTCATCATCATCAGCAGCATCATCACCATCATCACCATTAGCATCGTCGTCGGCGGCATCAACATCATCGGCATCATCAGCATCACCATCATCATCAGCAGCATCAGCATCAACATCATCAGCATCAGCATCATCAGCATAATCGTCGTCATCGTAATCGTCATCATCAGCAGCATCAGCATCATCATCATCAGCAGCAGCATCATCAGCATCAGCAGCCGCATCGTCATCATCATCATCATCATCAGCAGCAGCATCGACATCATCAACATCATCAGCAGCATCAGCATCATCATTACCAGCTGCAGCATCAAAATCAGAATCTGCATCATCATCATATCGTCAGTAGTACTGGTAATGGTTTGCATTGGCAGCAATCGTCTTATCTTCTCCCCACCCACCCACCGAAATCCTATGCAGCATCAGCATCGCCATCAACATCAGCATCACCGTCATCATCAACGACAAACGTATACTCAACATCATCACCATCAGCATCATCATCATGCGGATCAGCACCATCATCATCATCATCATCATCAGCATCATCATCATCAACATAATCATCAACCCTCATCACCGTCTTCATCATCACCATCATCATCAGGGTCATCACCCTCATAATCAGAATCAGCACATCAGCATCATAGCTATCATCATAATCATCATCATCGTCGTCATCTTCATCAGCATCATCATCGTAATCGTCATCGTCGTCATCAGCATCACCATCACCATCTCCATCACCACCGTCACCATCGGCAGCATCATCATGACGAGAATCAGCATCACCACAACCATCATCAGACATCCTCCGTCCTCCGTCCTCCGTCCCCCATCCTTCCCGCCCTCCCTTCCAACGGCGCGCCGCCTGGGCGATGAGCAGGCCCATCAGAGCGTAGGTCGCCACCAGGCCCCAGGTGTACCTCCGCGCGGGCCCGGGGGGCGGGACCGCGAGGGCTGGCCGCCCACCAGCGGGCGGCGCCCGCCGGAGCTCTGCCCCAACAGCGCCTCGCTCGAGGGCCCTTCGCGGGCGGGCGGAGGCCGTGCGCGGAGAGGCCCCGGGAGGCACAAATCCACGGACGCAGATCCGAGGAAGTCCTGCAGTTTCCCGATATTTTCCGGAGGGTCGCCTTCCCCTCCACTTCCCATGTTAGGGGGAACACAAATCTACCTCGCGTTGGACCGCCCTCGCTTCCAAGAGATACCGAGCGATGCCAAGCTACGGCCTGTGCGGGTCAGGCCGCTCGACGAGGAGGCGCGTGGTAGGACTCGGTTTTGCCTGAAAGCGAAAGCGGGGTAAACAATTCACGCTCTGACATGTGTTCACATACGTTCCTGGGCACCGACAACTCTCTGCGTCTCGGTGTGCGCGCTGCCCTCCAGACCATACCCGTGTCCGCGGCCTCGGGGGGGGGGGGGGGGGCGCGAACCCGCAAAGACGGGGCGCCTCTGCTGTGGCGGCTGCTCCCGCGCGGAAACGTACCCGTGCGACCGCGCATCCGCGGAAGGGCGCCCCGCCGCGCAGGCGCAGGTGAAGGACACGTTCGCCGCTCGTGAGTTCTAACCTGCCACCGTGCCCTACAGGCGCGAGTTGGAGTGTCCTCAGGTCCCTTGCCCAATCCCTTGGAGCCTCAGTCCTCGATCCCGAGGATTCGCTCGGGAGCTCTGGCCCGCAAAAGCCAAACCTCGTGAGTCCTGTCGTGCCTCCCCGCCTGACTTTTTTTCGGGCCCAAGAGGGTTCCAAGACGGACAAAACGGACCCCAAAGAGGCCTCAAAGGCGGCCTAAGAGGGCCCCGAGTCGCCGAAAGATCTCTCCAAGACGCCCATGGCCACAAGACGTCCCTAACTGTCTCCAAGACGCCTCAAGAGGCTATCAAGAAGCCTCCCAAGAGGGCGCAAAGAGACAACCATCAGTGATCGTCCTTCGGTTTTGTTCGGCTCCCCGACGCCTCAAAACGGCATACGGAGCCCCCGAGATCGCCCCAAAGCTCCCCCAAGGGGACTCCAAAACGGCCCGAGAGGGCCCCAAGACGGGTTTGTTCCGGAACGACCTATCGAGTGTGCCCCGGTCTCGGGTCTTGGCCCTCCCTTCTCGTGGGAGGAGGGCCCAGGAGACGGAGCGCGCGCGGCGAAGTGCCCGCGCCAAGAAAGTAGGTGCACTCGGACCCAGGCCAGGAGAACGTCCCCCAAGAACACTAGACCGCTGCCGGCCACAACACACAGAACATCCAAGGGCACCCTCTCAGGATGCACAAGAACATCCACCTAGGGCACCCTCCCCGAACAGAGCTCGATCTTGTACCTCGGTCCGACCGTACACAGACACCCTCCGACGAATGTTGCATGTACCTGCAGGGAGGGCGGCGGTGTTATAAAGTCGCTGGCTCTCCGTGGTGATTTACACACCGCCACTCTCCCCCGAGTTTAGGACGGGATGTCCCCCTACAGGCGGATTTTGGAAGAAGAAGAAAAAATACACTAAAAAAGATGCAAGAACCCCCCCCCGCAAAAAAAGGGGAACATCGGCCCCATACGTTTTGTTGCCTATGTTTGAATACTCCTCCAGAAGAGGGACATGCCCGACTTAATCCCGAGTCCCAGGAGCAATCCATTGGATGGGTGTCTGTGTATATGCCGTTCAGAGCGAGGGTCCACCTACACGGAGGAAGGTGGAAAAGAGGAGGGCGGCCGGGGCGCGCGGCGAGCTGCAGCGGGCCGCACCGGCAGCGAGAGGGGGAGGGGGAGGAGGGGAAGCAACCGTCCCACTGTGCTGTCGTTCCCCGCTCTCGGTTCCCCTTCCGGTGATGCTCAGGACGTGTGTTGGCCCAAACGTGCGGTTGTCCGTCGAGGCCGTGCGACACGACCCAGACGATGTAGTGATCTACTTGTTGGGCTGAGGAGGGTAAACGCACACTGGGCTAACACACGTCCTGAGAATGATCGACCCTCACCCCTTGGTGTCTGCATGAGAGATGCTTCCCGCTTCCCCTGGAGCTCGTCGTCGGCTGCCGCTGCCTTCCAGGAGAAAACACATTGGATAAGCAGGTGGAGGCAGGAGGGAGAATCGATTCCGGAACGATTCGCCGTGCGGGTACCTGTTGAAGCCGGTGAGCACACCGCCCATGCCCTGGCTTGGAGACGCACTCGCCATATACCCAGAAAAATTGACGACGCATCCAATGGCATACAATCGGATATTGGATACGTGGATGCTGTCATCCCTGCCTACGTGCTTGTAGAGCCACTCGTTGTAGACACCCGCGGATGCGCTGATCCAAATGTAAGCGAAGACGAGGAAGACTCCTGTCAGGACAGAGCCAAACAAAGACATGGCAGCGTTGCCGTACGAACTGATTACGCGCGCTGTTCCGACACCCACCGACGATGTTCGCGCTGTGTGCGAGCATAACCCCTCTTTCTGTTCCCTATCACCTGACTTATACCCCACTTTCCCCAAGGCCGTCCACGGTGGCATCTAAAACTGGCATGGGCCGAACCAATGATGAAACCAAGATCGACCGACCGATGCCGACATGCCGCAGGCAGCCTAAACGGGCGCGACAACGCGGCAACAGTACGACAGCCGTCCGAACCGAATCGACCGAACGCAACCGACTGCGACGCAACCGAACCGACTGAACCGCGGACACCCTTGAAGGGGCTCAGGGAGACACAAACAAATAAACATAAATTCCATGATTCCAAATGTTTCGCGATACTTCCTTGATGTTCGTCTTCCCGCCCATCCCCCATAGTTTCCCAGATGTTCCTGCTAGACTAACTGCGCTGATGTGTCTGTGTCTATTAACCCATGCTCGATGTTCTTTCCTGAACCCGTGCTCCCTGGTGTGCACGACCAGTCCATCCCCGTTCTGCCCATCTCTTCATACTCCCTCCCGCTCACTACCTCCGCTGCAGCAGCGGGGGCTGGGGACTGCTCTGGTGACGCCTACGAATGCGGCCGTCTCATCCCTCGGCCTCCCTCCCTCTCCTCCTGCTTCTCTTTCGACCCTCCTTCATACACATGGCCGAAGCTATCCGAACTACGGCATGCACACTTACTACAGATTCCTTTCCTTGAGGGCACAGAGAGGACTCTCTAAGGACCGACGAGGCTATCAGCACTCCATGCCTGCCACCTCCTCCAGCAGGTCCTCGGGATCATGACCGCTGCTCTGGACCTCACCAGAATTTCGAGGCGCATCCAGCCGTGGCGACGAGGGCCTCCCAGGGTTGCCCCAAAAAGGCGAGAGGGAAGACAGGGAGACGGCATCGGTGCCCCTTCCTCCCCTGGCGATCCTCCCTCCTCCCTCCCCCCCTCCCTGTGGGGGCTCCAGTGGCGTCTATGTACATGCTCTTCCGCTCCGCGGGCGCCCCGTCGTCCGAGGCCGGCCAGCCCGTCAGCACCGTGCCCAGGAAGAGGAGCACCAGGGCGGCCCACTTGCGGGCCGGCATGTGCTCCCGGAACACGAGCCACCAGACGATCCCCGTGGTCAGGATCTTGCCCTGCACCAGCACCTGCTCGGTGGCCGGATCCATATGCTGGTTGTTCAGCATGTCCAGGTTGTTGTTCACGGAGTAGAGCAGCGAGGGCACCACGTACGCAAGCCAGTGCCCGAGCGGGCCGCCCAGGACTGCCCCAGCGGCCGCGGGCAGCGACCCCCGCTCCGCGGACAGCATCGCGAAGCTGAGGCAGAGCTTCACGGCCTCCGCCGTGAACACGACGCCCGGCATCGAGTAGGCGTAGCTCCCGTCGGGCGACTTGGACAGCTGCGACAGCACGCCGAGCAGCGCGTAGCAGACCGAGCCGAGCAGGAACAGCACACCTTTCAGAGCCGTCCGCCACACCATCGCCTCGGGGGTTGCTGGAAAAGCCCCAGGCCCGAGGTTGGGGAAACCACGGTACCGCTACTCCCTGGACCTCTCCTGGGGTGCGTTCTGATCAGGATTTCGAGGCGAATCCAGCGGTGGCGACGAGGCCCTCCCAGGAGACCCAAAAAGGGGAAGACGAGGGAAGGGCAGAGGTATGGGTACCCTGTCCTTCTCCGAGAGGTGCCCCCAGCCTCTCGCTCGCCTGTGGAAAAATCCCACCCCTGGGCCAGGGGCACTTCTTAGAAGCACCCGGTCACCCACGACGGGCGGTGCCAGGGGCGGCGCGTCCCCAGGCGAGCGGGCGGCCGAGAGGGGCCAGGCCCGCCCGCGAGGCCGCAAGGGGGGCGGCGGGGCCCAGAGCGGCAACGGCGCGAGGCAGCGCAGCGGCTCCAGGGGGGGGGGGGGGGCCCAGCGCGCGCTCGGGCCCCAGGCTTCGACCAACACATTCGACCACACGCAAGGGTGACCCTAGGTGAGAGTGACCTTTGGTGCGCGGTTTTGGGGGGGGCCGCGGGGGGACCAAACACGAGCGCGCAAGCCGCTACTACCGCATCGCGTTCGGCGCTGAGGGACCCCACTGGGCCCGCACCAAAGGTCACTCTGGCGGAAGGTCACTCTTACGTGTAGCCGACTCATGCACACACACACACACACACACGTGCAGCTAACACGTTGGCGCATATACCCACGCAAGCATGAAGCACAGCCTGATTACCTGGCCACCCCGACACGAGCACCGCCAAATCGAACCAGCTCCGACCTAGTCACGACATCGGGCGCGCCCGGTCTTTGCCGCTGCACGGTGGGGTTTGACGATGCCGCTTGGTCAGAATCGCCACCCACAAGCAGGGTCCTTGTGACTCTGTGTTTTGTATCGGCGGGCGCATGTTCAAGCTACAACCTCTGGCAATTCGCGGGATCGTGACTCTTGTGTTAGACGGGGCAGGCCAAACGAACATGTCATGCCACCCACCCACCCCATCACGGTTGCAGCAGGCTGCGGCTGGCAATCAGCACAATGATCCGTTGGTTGCCGAGTGAAGCCTCGTCGTAAAAAAGTAACAACACACAAAAAAAAACTACGCAGCAAATGCACAAATGAAACAGTGCACCCAAATTTGCACTTGGAGACGGGCTGTGGGACCCGCCGAACCCCACTTGCCCAGGGTGAAAAAGCGTGGGAGAGGTTTGGCTGTCCCCCTCCTCTGGGTCCAAACTCCCATGTGGGAGGCAGAAAGGGATGAACATACTCGATACAGATAAGACTGCCCTTTGGGTGCGGAGGAGGTTGTGGGTTGGCATCGGATCGGACTCGCAATGCATCTATATCACGGTCTCGCTGCCTACCAAAGCATATTAGAGTTAATATATGCCAGTCTCGAAGTGCATACGGACATGATCATCTAAGTAGGGAACCGAACTATACACCGACGCCTTTGTCTGGCCTCACACTGAATCTCGCACAGGAAAGCGGATCCTGGTGTTACGGGATCCTGGTGTATACATTCTTCGTTGTTTCCCCCGGAAAACGGGGAAAAAAGTATACGCCACACCACCCCGACGTCGTCCCCGACCCTCGAAAATGTCCTGGGATTGAAAAACCGCCCGCCACTGGTAATGTACATGCTCCAGTTTCCGACTAAGTGCCTGTATCTATACGAAAACAGAACATGTTTGCACGTACACATCTTCATATAGATCGGCCCATACCATCAAATCCATTGCTGCATCCCGCCCATTCGAGCCCATCGAAAGATATGCGAGGCCCGGAGCCCAGGCGCGAGCGCGTGGCCCCGAGGGCAGAGCCCAAACCAGAGGCGCGGCGATGCGGCAGCGACACGACGGCCGACCTGCACCGACGCAGCCGAACCGACCAGAACGTGGCGAACCTGCGGCTCAAAGCCTATGCGGTTCAACAATGGGGCCCCGAGGGACAGAGCCCCGAAGGCGACTGACCCCGAACAGGGAGGGTTCCGCTTGGGATCCGTGTCCAGCCCTCAGGCATGGCCCCAGGCCGCCGCGTCGGCCTTTGGGTCATGACCCGGGCCCCCGGCGGCCGCCCGGGACGACCTGGGCACCCCCGGGAACGCCCACGGCGAGGCGCAGGTGGGTGCAAGCCACACCTGCCTCCCGCAGGCTGCCGAAGACCTCCCGAGAACCCTGGGGCCTTCGAGCCTTCGAACCTCCGTGCCCTCGACGCTTCGAGCTCGCAGGCTCGAAGGCACCTTCGCACCCTGGAACCTTCCGAGCATCGACCTTTCGTAGCCAAGGCTCAGCGCCCTCTGGGGCCCGCCCTCTCTCCGCGCAGGGCTGTGGCTCCCTTCGGGCGTGGCCCGCGCGGGGGGGGGAGGCCGTGGAGCGCTGTGGCGGCCCCCCCCCCGGGTCGCCGCGGGGGAGCGCGCGAGGAACTCGCTCTGTGTGCCCCCTCCGTCATGGAGCAGCAGGCCATCGGCTCCGGCCGTGCTCCCAGCTCGGAGGGGGCGGCGCGGGGAGGAGCGGCCGGACCAGGATCGCGAGCGACGAGAGCACGCCTCGGGTGTTGTCAGAAGTGCCCCTGGCCCAGGGTGCCCCCAGGATTTCCGAGGAGGCCCCCACGGCCTCCAGAGCACCTCTCGCGAGGCCCAGAGGGCCCTAGGAGCTGCAAAATTACACGAAAAGCCAGGGGCACCACTGGCCAGGGGCACCTTTAGCAACCCCCGAACAGGACGAGAGCCAAATCATCCAGCTCGGGGGGCTGGCATCGGACCCTGGGACCGTAACCAAAGCTCTAGATGTAAAAACAGAAACCGGGCCAAGAACCCAAACACATGCAGTTGAGCGTACCGTCGTTGTGAGTATCGCCGTCGGTGGAGTTCCCAATTTGGCCACGAAACGCGTGAGGGATGTACCGAAATGGGTGGGGCGGCCACATGCGAACATGGCCTCGGGGGTCTTCGGTGAAGTTCCGCGGCCACGAGACACGTGAGGGGTGTGCCGGAATGGGTGGGGCAGACGCATGCGAACATGGCCACTGTGGCCTTCGGATGGGGCCACGAATCGCGTGAGGGGTGTGCCACAATGGGTGAGACGGCCGCTTGCGAACATGGCCACTGAGACCTTCGGTGAAGTTCTCTACGGGGCCACGAAGCTGCGCGAGGAATGTGCCAAAATGGGTGTGGCGGCCGCATGCGATCATGGCCACTGGGACCTTCGATGGAGCTCCGTGCGGAGCCACGAAGCGCGTGAGGGGTGTGGTGGAATGGGCGGAGCGGCCACATGCGAGCACGGCCACTGGGTTCTTAAGGGGAGCTCCATATGGACCCATGACATGCGTGAGGGGCGCCGAACTGGGTGGGGCGGCCGCATGCGAACATGGACTCGGGGGCCTTCGGTGGAGCTCCCTATGGAACCATGAAACGCGTGAGGTGTGTGGCGATATGGTTGGGGCGGCCGCATGCGAACATGGCAACTGAGGCCTTCGGTGGCGCCGACCTTAAAATCCGCGCGTACCAACGACAATGCATGTCTATGCCGTGGTGTCTTCTTCGACCACCTTCTCAGGAAGGCCATCCCCCTCCCCCCGCGAAGCCCACCCTCATGCGCGCCGCCAGCACACGCTCCGCAGCGTCACTGGCAGAGGAAAACTGTAGGGCCCCGGCATCGCGCTGCGACGGCGCGGACCCTGGAGCGAGGGGCAACTGTAGGGCGGGACTTGCTCAGCAATGGAAGTATCGACCTGGAATCGGCGATACATCGCCGATAGATCGGCGCTAGGCCCCAGGCTGCGAAACCGCACGTGCCTGGGAGGGGTGGGCCATCGAGGCCGTATCGGCTATCAGTGGCCGACTGGGGGTCGGTGCATCCCCCCCGAGCCTGTTCCCCACCCAACGTTGCTCCTGATTGGAGGCTCCCCCGCCTTTTCAGAGAAGCCGCCTCTCCCCCTCGCCAGCCAGCCCTCGTGCGCGCCGCCGGCACACGCTCCGCAGCCCACTGGGCGTTGAGGAAAACTGGGGGCACTCAGCACCGCGCCGCGACGGGCGCGGCCCCTGGAGCCGGGGGCAACGTGAGGGGGGGCCAGCTCAGGGACGAGGGTCAGCACCGAGCTGGAAAATCGCGGCCACGCCGCCGAGAGATCGACGACGGGCCGCCGAGACAGCGGACCCGCACGCTCCCGGGCAGGAACGGGCAAACGGGCCCCTTCTTGGCGATGAATCGGCGAGCGTGAGCCTCCTCCTCCTCCTGCTCCTCCTGCTCCTCCTCCTCCTCCTCCTCCTCCTCCTCCTCCTCCTCCTCCTCCTCCTCCTCCTCCTCCTCCTCCTCCTCCTCCTGAGGAGGAGGAGGAGGGGGAGGAGGCGGCGGAGGAGGAGGAGGAGGAGTCGATACGTTCCCGCCCGAGCCTATCGCCTGGTAGTGCTGGGGTCATAAACTCGGGCCTCCAGCGGCCGCCCAGGACGATCCTGCCCAGAACGCTCTCGGCGAGACGCAGCCACTGGAGAGCATCCCGAGGCTGGAGATCCGCCGAGAGCGACTCCGAACCCCGAACTCATTCGAAGACCATGAACCTCGATGGAAACCGCGCGTATAACTGCACACATGCCTGCGTACATGCATGCATACATACGTACATACATACATACATACATACATACATACATGCATACATACATACATACATACATGCATACGTACATGCATATGTACATACGTACATGCATGCATGCATGCATACGTACGTACATACGTACATACGTACATACGTAGACACGTACATACGTGTTATGTACATACAGACATGCCTACATACCTGCATACATGCATGCATACATTCATACATACATGCATGCATACATACCTTACATGCATGAATGCATGCATGCATGCAGGCATGCATACATAGATACATACATACATGAATAAATGCACAGAGACGTACGTGCATGCATACATACACATGCACATGCCCATGCACATGCACATGCACATAGACATACACATACACACACATACACATACACCTACACATACACATACACATACACGTTCATTGTCACTCGCTTATTCATACATGCATATATACATACATGCATACATACATATACGCATGCAGGCAGGCAGGCATACATGCATGCATACATCAAGACCGACAGACGAACAGATATACACACATGCATAAACACGTACATGCATGCATACCTGCAAAGATACATACGTGCATGCGCACATGCATACATACACACATGCAGACATACACGCATGCATGCATGCATGCGCATACATGCTATATGTATGTAAACACATACATATGTACATGCATACATATATGGCTACATGCATGTATGCATGCATACATGCATGCAGTCACACATACATATATACATACGTACCGACATGCATGCATGCATGCATACATACATGCATACAGACATGCAGACATGCATGCGTGCATGCATAGGTACATAAATACGCACGTGCATACGTGCATATGTACAGACTTACATACATACATACGTAGATACGTAGTACATGTCAATGTCTACACATACGTACCTACCTAAATGCATGCATGCACAGATGCAGACATGAATGACTACAGCCACGCATACATACATACATACATACGTACATACAGACAGACATGCAACACTCATGTATGCGTACACTCATGTAGGCATGCATGCATGCATACACGCACACATACATCCATACATACATGCATGCATGCATGCATACATACATACTCGCATACATACATACAACATACATACGTACACACGAACATGCAGACCTGCATACAGACAGACACCCATGCAAACAAACATAAATACATGCATGTATGCATGCATACATATACATATACATATACATATATATATATATATATATATATGTATATGTATGTATGTATATATATATATAGATATACATATATATACATGTATGTGTGCCCCCCCCCTGTGATCCACCTCACCCTCTGTTTTCTTATCTGACCGTCACCCTTTTGTTTTCCTATCTCATCGTCGTTCGTGCTTTGAGCTGGCGCTGCTAATCTTTTGTGGTGTTCGATTGAGCGGAAGAGCGGAAGAACAAGAGAGCGACTGAGCGGGAGAAAAGCGCCAGGAGAAGGCGCGCGAAAATGCAAAAAAGGCGAATAATGCAACAACAAAAAAAAACTAAGGACATCCTAAGAAAACCATACGAAAAAGTTGCAAAAACATGTAGTTTCTTAGGTTTTGCACCCATCGGAGGCCCCAAACCTCTGAAACACACAAGGTTTGAGCGCATCTGAATTAGAAAACCATGTGTTTTCATAGGTTTGGGGCCTCCGATGGGCGCAAAATCTAAGAAAACACAAGTTTTCGTAACTTCTTCGCACGGTTTCCTTAGGATGTCCTTAGCGTTTTTTTGTTTTTTTTTGCATTTTTCGCATTTTTTGCATTTTCGCCTGCTTGCGGCCGGCGCCACGTCGGCCCTCCCGCTCCCTGGGGCGAGCGCGCGAAAATGCAAAAAAAACTAAAAATGCCCCCCCCCCAAAAAAAAAACCTAAGGACATCCTAAGAAAACCATGCGAAAAAGCTGCGAAAACCCGTGTTTTCTTAGGTTTTGCGCTCATCGGAGGCCCCAACCTGCGAAAGCACAGGCATTTCTAATTCAGATGCGGTCAAACCTTGTGTTTTCACAGGTTTGGGGCCTCCGATGGGTGCAGAACCTAAGAAAACATGGGTTTTCGCAGCTTTTTCGCATGGTTTTCTTAGGATGTCCTTAGGTTTTTTGTTTTTTTTCATTTTTCGATTTTTTTGTATTTTCGCGCGCTCGCCCCAGGGAGCGGGAGGGCCGACGTGGCGCCGGCCGCAAGCAGGCGAAAATGCAAAAAATGCGAAAAATACACACACACACACACACACACAAAAAAAAAAAAAAAAACGCTAAGGACATCCTAAGAAAACCATGCGAACTCATGGGTTTGCGCCCGCAGCCGCCGCTGAGGTGGCGCAGTTGCGCAGCCCCTTCCTCGCCGCAGAGAACGTGGCGTTCGGTCGGGGGCGGAGGAACGCCTGCTGGCCACCCAGATGAGAAGTTCTCGCTCGCTGGCTGCGCTCGGGTCCGCTCTCGCCTGCAGGCAAGCGACGGGCGAGACGTCGTCCAACTTGCGGTAACTCGCCGAGAGATCATGATCAAGCTGGCGGCTCTTGAGGACGCAGGCTCCGATGACTTTTCGTTCGTCTACCCGTCCGACGACCCTCGCCCCTTGCCTGCCGTTTTTACAATGGTCGCGCAGATGGGCCACGTCGTGATGCCCATTGACTTCGAGCTATTTAGAACAATGCAAGTGGGGATCTTCACGCGTGCCCAGCGCTACTTCGAGCTCAGGGAAAAGATGGGCGAGGTCGCCGTTGCGCAGTTCACTGCGTGGGCCACAGAGCTTGAGGCGGCGTTTGGATGTGAGGCGCGGCTTCTGCGACTCCTGGTTCTCAGGCTGCGATCGCAGTTGGCGTCTTTCCTGTCGGAGCAGCATTGCTTGCACGCACGAGTGCGGCAAAGGCTTTTTCTTACAAGCGCCCATTCCTCCAGGGAGGCAGCAGCACTAGAGGCACGTTACGGCCGAAAGGCGAGCCGCCTGAGATGGCTGATGACGCAGCGCCCGCAACCTGCGTCGGTGACGCACAGTTGCGCGGCCCCGCCCTTGCAGCAGAGGACGTGGCATTCAGTTGGTGGGGGAGGAACGCCGTCTGGCCACCCAGACCAGGAGTTCTCGCTCGCTGGCTGCGCTCGGGCCCGCCCCCACCTGCGGGCGTTCGGCGGGCAAGACGTCCTCCAACTTGCGGCAATTCGCCGAGAGAGCATGATCGAGCGGGCGGCTCTGGAGGACGCAGGCTTCGGTGACTTGTCGTTCGTCTACGCGCCCGACGATCTTCGCCCCTTGCCTGCAGCAGCATTTACAGTGGTCGCGCAGATGGGCCGCGTCGGGATGCCCATTGACGTCGAGCTGTTTAGAATGATGCAAGTGGGGATCTTCATGCGTGTCCAGCGCTACTTCGAGTTCAGGGAGAAGGTGGACGAGGTCGCCGTTGCGCAGTTCACTGCGTGGGCCACAGAGCTGGAGGCGGCGTTTGGATGTGAGGCGCGGCTTCTGCGACTCCTGGTTCTCAGGCTGCGATCGCAGTTGGCGTCTTTCCTGTCAGAGCAGCAGTGCTTGCACGCACGAGTGCGACAAGGGCTTTTTCTCACAGGCGCCCAGTTCTCCAGGGAGGCAGCGGCACTAGAGGCACGTTACGGCCGAAAGGCGAGCCGCCTGAGATGGCCGATGACACAGCGCCCGCAACCTGCGCTGGTGACGCACAGTTGCGCGGCCCCGCCCTTGCCGCAGAGGACGCGGCATTCAGTCGGTGGCGGAGGAACGCCGTCTGGCCACCCAGACCAGGAGTTCTCGCTCGCTGGCTGCGCTCGGGCCCGCTCCCACCCGCGGGCGTTCGGCGGGCAAGACGTCGCCCAACTTGCGGCAATTCACCGAGAGGGCATGATCGAGCGGGCGGCTCTGGAGGATGCAGGCTTCTGTGACTTTTCGTTCGTCTACCCGCCGGACGATCCTCGCCCCTTGCCTGCAGCAGCATTTGCAATGGTCACGCAGATGGGCCACGTCATGATGCCCATTGACGTCGAGCTGTTCAGAGAAATGCAGGTGGAGGTTTTTATGCGAGTCCAGCGCAACTTCAGTTGCAGGGAGGTGATGGGCGATGTTCCTGTTGCGCAGTTTACTGAGTGGGCCACAGATCTCGAAGCGGCGTTTGGATGTGAGGCGCGGCTGCTGCGACTGCTGGTCCTCCGGCTGGGCTCGCTGCTTCGCTCGGGTAACGCGGCGGCGACAGACAGCCAGTTCGATGGCGATTCGTTGGATGGTTCCCTGGCGCGTGGCATTTGCGGCAGAGTTCCCGATTCTGGCATGGAGGGCACAGTCAACACCCATAGTAAGGATGAACAAGTCCAAGAGCACTCCTGCATCCTCATCCCGCGACCTTAGTTTTCCGGCCCTGCCCACCTCTCCCCTTTCCACCCCTTGGCCCATCCAAGGAGTGCTAACGTGGCCTTCCAAGGCCCTTGCATCCTCATCGTGCATCCTCACTATAGGTTTTAGATTGTAGAAAGCAAATCGGCCAAGTGCTTGCGTTCTGTTTGCCCATATATGTCTGACAAAGCTTTTGAAAACGCAGTTTCTGATTTGATGATTTGTTTCTGCATGAGCTGATTGCTTTCGTGCCGTCGGAAGAGGTGTCATCTGCTTCAACGGCTCAGACATGCGCGTGTACTGCGTCCATGCGCACCTCGACAGCATCCGCGACTGCGAGTCCGATGGCGATATGGAGGACCAATATACTGACCTTTACGCAGAGGACAGCAACGTGGAAGACCAAGATGAAGACGGCTTTCCGATGGATCTTCATGGTCATCTCTCGCCCAAGCCATTTTGTTGCCACGCGTCAACTGCCAGAGCGACGACGACTGCGAGAGCGACGACGACGACAGCCTCGGCGGCGGGCCGACTCGGCCGCGCGCAAAGAAACCCGCTGCTTTTCAGACTTGCACGCCCAAGCGCGGGAAAGCCCGAATGGCAATGAAGGTTGCCAAGAAGCCGTCTGGGGCGCACAAGATGCCGTTCGTGCCGTATGTTCGCCATGGGCAGAAGACTGTCACGTCGAGGCCAGTGAAGATGCAGATCAGTTGTGCCCTGAAAGACATTTATACTGCATCCGCTTCCAAGCTCATTCGCATGCTGACGCGGAGTGGCCATCTTCGCGACTGGGCTGGCGAGCAGCGCCGGTGGTGCGCGACTGGGCGCCTCGGGCCCCTGCGACGCGTGCCTGGTAGAGGTGACGTTTACCGCTGCAACAGGAAGATGCGTCGCCAGTTCGTGACGCCGCAGCACAACCACCCAGTATCTAAAGCTGGCTGGGGCAATGCGTCCGCTCCGCTGTCAGATAAAGCTGTCGTGTGCATGTGCGCGGCGTGGGGCCTCTCTCAGGCTAAGTGCCACCAGGTAACAGGTCACAGCAGCAAACTCATTGAGAACACATACTTGCGCCTGGATGAAGCGAGGACGAAGTACGTGCTTAAAAAAGGAAAGGACAATTCGCTTTGGCTCGGTCGAGGAATGGAACGACATTGAAGCCGGCGAAGTCGACTTGGGCAAAGAGGACGACTGGAGGAAGACGGACAAGCAGAAACCAGTTCAATGGGAGCAGTGGGGAGGCATCGTCGAGCGCGGTCGGCCGCATACGCTGGTGCTGACTAGCGCGCTCCTCAGATGCTGCTCTGATTCGTATCCTCGCGCGCAAGCCCTTCTGGTTTTCGGTGCTTGCGTTGCTGCCGTCGCGCGATTTCGCCGAGAGAAGATCCGATTGGGCGATTGCGATCGATCGTGCGATGATCGCGAAAGCACCGCTCCGATCGATATGCACTGCGATGCAATCAGGACGCCGGCCCGCGATCTCGCCGAGCTCTGGTTTGGTCGGTTGGGCGATATCAGACACGATCCGATATCGAAGCCTACGCTCCTATCGATTTGCACGGAGATGTTCGTAAACGAACAGATAAGGACTTGATCCGTGCCGCACGACTCGTCGTGCCCCAGGGCCAGGGCCAATTCGCAAGCGGGATTGGAAGCCGACCACCAGGAAGCATTTGGAGAATACCAACGTGGTTTTGCATACCGACGGCGCCCGCGCATACAAAATGCGCATCCCCGGTGTTATTCACGACAACGTGGTGCATTGCAAGAAAAAGGTCGTCTTTAAAGACAGTATGGGTGAAACCGAAGTACTCAAAGATTAAGAAGCACATTCTTCCTAACGGGCAGCACCTTTTTGTCAAAACAGGCACGCAGATCATCGACCGTTTCTGGTCCCACTTGAGAGCGCACCTGGGCAAGCGCGCGCACAAGGTCAACAACAGATCCATGTGTCGACGTATTCGTTCTGCTCAGTGGACGTACTGGGTGAAAGGCCAGGACCTGTGGGTCCGCACAGGTGAGATGCTGAGGACTCTCTATTGATACTTAGCCGCATAGGTATTTGTAGGCACTGCAAAGGCACTTGCAACTTTGTGCGCGAAAAACAACTATGGCAAGTCAATGACAGGTGATCGCAGATTGAATGAAACATTGAAGCAGCGATGAGGTGGATCACAGGGGGGGGGGTGAGCATATGTATATACATGGGGCCTGGGGGTGCGCGGAAACGCCTCAGGCAGGACAACGTATAGTGTACAATGTTCTGGTCAGCTCTCCAGTTGCCTGGGGTTAAAGCATACAGTATGGAAATACATACACACTCATATATATATATATATATGTATACATACATATACATATATATAGACATAGATGCATATACATATACAGAGATACATATACATCTCACATTTCTGTTATGTTTACAATCTGGGTGGGGAAATTCCCCCCGCCCGCCCAAAACGGGACCTCCCGGATCGGCGGCCCTGGGGGCGCCATGGACGCCCCTGCAGCAGGTGCGCCCGGCTCCTGGAAGCCCCTGCTGGGCCTCGACGGCGGGCCCCCAAACCGGTCGGGAGGGCGGCCGAGAGCCCCGCGAGAGTCCCAAGAGGCCCCAGGCACCCACCAGACGCCCGAAGACGACCAAAAGAGAAACCCCAAGAGGCCTACGAAACGCAAAAACCTTGGTTCCCAATGGTTCGCGCCCGATTTGGGACACGCTCTGGTCTTCGGTCTCCTGGGCGTCCGAGACCGCCCAGAAAGCCAGAAAATCACCCGAAAACCAACCAAGAGAGCTGCTAGGCAGTCCAGGCCAGGAGAGCCTCAAGACGGCCCATGACGGCCCCAAGATGGTCAGAAGAGAGCCCCACGACGACCCAAGATGGCCCCAAGACGCCCCCCGAAGCATTCCAAATCGTGACCCAGTCGTTCAGGGAGACCGTGTTTGGAAGCAGGGTGGCCCGAAGAAGCCCCCCGAGGCCCCAGAAGAAACCCAGGAGGCCTCCAGAAGGCCCCAAGAAGCCCTTAAGGCCCCCAAGAGGCTCTGCAAGAAGGAGCCTCCGCACGAGAGCTGAAAGAATGAGGAACAAGAATAGGAAACATGAGGGAAAGATGATTAATCATGTTATTGTAACGACGATGTCGAAAAAGACAGCTCGGAATTATCGTTCAACTTGCCGTTTTACCTTTCTGCCCTTCCGCCTGCATGTCAAACATGAACGACCAAGGTGCATGGCGCGAAGCGCTGGTGCAGTTTTGTCGCCATTTGCCACCAAGTGGCGAACAAGCACAACACAATAGACTGGACACGCTCCTGGCCCCAGTTCGGGCCTCGAACCTCCTGAATGAAGGGGCCCAAGGACACACATAAATGCATACACAATCCCTGGATTCCCCCTATGCTCCCATATGTCCTTGATCTCTTCGTCTGCTCCCCCCCCACCCTTCCCATACTCTCTTCCCTCCCGACTGAACCCGTCACTGCACCGACCTTGCACACGTGCTGTAGCGGATTTGTGCGTGGATTTCTTTCGATGCGAAACCCCGAAGCGGCGAGCCAAAAACGAAGTGAATTTCGCGTGGATTTGTCTTTGTCGTCATTCCTGTCCAAAGAAAATCCGCACGAAACTCGCTCCGAAATCTGGAACGAAATTCTCCAGGACAATCCGAGTCCATCCCATTTTCCCAGCGAAATCCGCTCTGCGATGTTCTTGCCATCGCTCGGACGTCCATTCCCTGTGCATTTTTCGATTTCGCGCGTGCTTTGCGATGCAAGGTGTTGGAGCCACGAAACCCGTCCCCCCCTGACTGCGGCCTGGCGAAAGGGGGGGATAGCAAAGGGGGAGTTTGAGAATCAACTCACGTAGCTGATTTTCCCAGCGCCTCCTGGCGCGGGGAGGCGCCCACGTATCCAGGAACGGGCCTGGCGGCGGGGCCCAAGCCAGCTGCATGCGGCAGAGGTCGTAGCCCCCCCTTGCCCAATCTCCCCCCCCTTTCGCCCGGCCCGCGAAGTCCGCTCTGCGATGTTGGATTGCAAAAAAACCTTGAACGAAGGATTGCAAAAAAAAACCCTTGGTCGAAGGATTGCAAAAAAAAACCCTTGAACGAAGGATTGCAAAAAAAAAACCCTTGGTCGAAGGGGTTTTTTGCAATCCTTCGTTTTTTGCAATCCTTGGTTTTTTTGCAATCCTTCGAAACCCGTCCCCCCCCCCCCTGACACCGCCCCCGACCGGCAGGCGCGCGCCCCTCGCCGGCGCGGCGCCGGGCTGCATGGCAGCGGCCCCCGCGGGAACGCGCGGGCCGCCTCCGGGCCAGCCCGTCCGGGGGCCGCGGGAGGGTCGGCGCCGCGCGGCGCCCACCGGCCGCCGAGGGGGGCCCGTGCGGGCAGCCTCCGAGCGGGCAGGAAGGGGGGCGGCGAGATCCAGCAAGGGGCCCAGGGAAGCACACACAAGCAGATGTAGACACGCATCCCAGGATGCCCCCTATTTCCCCACATGTTCTGGGTTTGTGGTCTTCCCCCACAGTCCATATTATCCCATATTTTCTTGCGAATCGGCGATGTGCTTTTCCCTCTGGAATCTATACAGAACTATTCTCGACCACCCGTTGGGCGGTAAGGAGTTTCGGGGCTGGGGGAGGGAAGAACCAACTGCTGGCAAATGCGATGGGTGTGACGATGACGATGCTGGTGACGCGCCCTCGAGTTAGCGACGACGCGTGATGATGATGTTGCGCTGCGATGGAATGTGACTAGCGTCCCAGCTTTCGATCTCAATCGATCGATTCAACCATCGACTACACAGGATCGATCACAAGATCAATCACACTCGACCCATCTCACCATAGATCTGACGATCGGTCTCACTATAGATCTCTCCATAGATCTCGCTGTCGCTCTCACTATCGATATCACGATCGATCTCACTATTGATTCCTCGATACCGGTCTCACCATCGATCTCACGAGCGATCTCACAACCGATGTCACAAACAGCCACACTGCCGATCTTACGTTTGATCTCACTATGCGTCCCATTCCAGCGATCTCATTACCGATCTCACGATCGGTTTCGCTGTCGATACCAAGACGGGACACCCGCGGCCGCCGCCCGCCCACCGCCGACGGAACACCGACGGGACACCAACGGGACACCAGCGGAACACCGCAGGGCGCCACGGCGGGACACCCCGCGCCACCGCCCGGACACCAGGGTCGGAGGGGAGGAGGGGCGATCCGCTGCATCCGCATCGCCCTAGCGACGGTGGGGTCACTCTCTCGCGCGCCCACGCAGCTGCGCCTCACCCTCACGCACGGCACGAACACGACACCGGAACCGATCTCCGGGCGGGGGGGGGCTCTCCGTTCCACTGCGATTTCACCCCCCTGCCTCAGATCCACTGGCCAGGGGCAGTGGACATGTATACTTTTCGTCGCCCAAGCCGACAACGGCATAGATATCATCTTTTGGAGCTCCGCGCAGATTTCTCGGGTAGCGCCGGGCCCCCCTGGCGGCGCCTCTAGCGCGGCCCCTAGCGCGCTCCGCGCGCCAGGCATTGGGCTCCAGCGCGGATCCAAGCCATCCGCGCGGAGCTCCCAAAGTCATGTTTACGCGGTTGTGTCCCCTCGAAGTCGGGGCGGACGAGACAGGGGAATCGCAGAGGGGGATTAGCGAATCAGCTCACGCGAGCGACGAGAAGGAACTGGTCTTGCGCGAGATGGCACATAGCGACCTTTTACGTACACGGTGGCTCACGCGGGCGGCCAGCGCGGCGCGCTACATTAGGAATGGGGGCGCCTATGTGCGAGCTTACGCGGGCAGCGGACAGTAGGGGCCCGGCCACAAGAAACCTTCCACAAGAAACCCGACCCTGGACCCAAGGACGTCCATTGATTTTTGGTGCGGGAACGTCACGCGTTCCATAGCAACACCACCGAAGCCCCAGAAACCCAGGGCACCCTGGAGGCCAGCAGGGTGTTTCTTGGCATGGGCTTCTACTGCACGCGCGAATGTCCGCGCAGTCGAACTCGCTTTCCTGCGTCGGTCACGCGGCTGGTCGGTCCCTCGGGCACCTTCTGGCGCCGGAGGCCGCAAGGCATCGAGAAAGGCGCCTGTCGGCGGGGCAGAAGCCAGCTGCAAGCAGCAGATTCCCTAATCGCCCCTTTCCCTATTCACGGCGCCCAGGGAGGCACAAATACAAAACACAAATTCCAGGATTCGCCATAATGCTTCTATAGTCTCTGGACTCTCGTCCTCCCCATCCACTCCCACTAGTTCCATGGGAAACCACATGGAAAGTTTTCCCGTCATCGCTTTCGCCCGACACGAGATAGTGAAGGGGAACTGGGACACACAAATAAATAGACACAAATAACCAGATTCCCCATATTTTCCCATATTTTCTGGTTTTTTGTCTTCCCCCCCACTTCCCATATTTTCCTACATTTTCTAAGGAATCGACGATTAATTGTGTCTGTGTGTTTCTTTCCCTCCTGAGATAGGCGGCCTCCGGCCCTAGTCGTCGTCGGGTGCGAGGAACTCCAGGGCCAGGCTCGTTGGATGCTCGCTCCTGGGGGCCTCCCTGGCGCCACTCGCTCCGACCACTGGCGCCGGTGCTGCGCCGACGGGCCGCCGACCTCGAGTCGAGCTTGAGCAGGACCGGAGTCGAGCTGTCGCCGAGCTGGAGTCGAGCTGGAGCCGAACTCGAGCCGCGCTGGAGCCGAGCTGGAGCCGACCTGGAGCCGAGCTGGAGTCGAACTGGAGCCGACCCGGGGTCGAGCTCGAGTCGAACTGGAGCCGAACTGGAGCCGGCCTGGAGCCGACCTGGAGCTGAGCTGGAGCCGACCTGGAGCCGAAGTGCCGACGAGCCGAAGCCGAACTGGAGCCGAACAGATCACCCGAGTGGGCCCCAGGAAGGCCCCCGAAGCGGGCATCCAGGGCTCGTGCTCACGCCGCTCTCCAGCACCGCCTCCACGACGCCCCCCCTGCCAGAAGGGCGCCAACGGTATAATGCGGAAGGTTTGTGCAGTGACAACCCCAGCGCTGCTTCCAGCCACCGCGTGGATCGTTCAACCTTGAACGATCGGCAGTTCTTCGATCGCCAGATCGTTCCATCTTTGCCGATTCTGGGCCAACAGCGGCATTCAACCTTGAACGCGCGCGGCGGGGTCGCTGCCCCGTCGGCACTACACGAACCTACCGTACACCGATCATGGCCTGGCCACTCCGAGGACCAGACTATACGTTTACGCGAGAAGAAGAAAACACTGCAGAAACATCAACTGTCGGAGGTCCGCTCGAATTTCTTGGATCGTCGCTGGACCCCCGGAGCGCGCTGGGGGGGCCCACCGCCGATCCGATAGATCCGCGCGAGAAACCGTTCTTTGTTCTTCAAGTATACACCGATCCGGGGCCAGATGCGGTGCGCACGCCAGGCCCATGGCCAGGCCCATGCTGGGCCCAGGATCGCTCTTCCTCTGTGTGACCAGGCCCGTCCCAGGCCTAAGCTCGGTGCATGAACAGTCGACCCGTATCACAAGGACGCACGATAAGGATGCAAGGGCCTTGGAAAGCCGTGTCGAAGCTTTTCGAGCAGGGCGCGGCGAACAAAAGTGGCCAATGATGGACCGAGGGGGTAACCTTGGGAAAATTGCGCATCCGTACTATGCGGGTTGACTGTACCGCCCTGGCCAAGCCAGGAGGGCGTATGTACCCATCCTGGGCCCAGGATCGGCCTGGCCAGGCATCTGGCACCTCGATTTTGTTCCAGACTAGGGCGCCAGACTCCTCGCCATTTTGGCGCTCCGCGGCCAGGGGGGGGCGGCGCCTCCAGCCCCGCCCCTGGCGCGCTCCGCGCGCCAGGGAGGGGGGTCCAGCGCAGATCCAAGAAACCCGCGCGCAGCGCCACAAGTGTATGCTGTTATGGCGTCTTCTCTTCTTCGATTACACTCAAGTCGGGCCCGTCTCCCTACAGGCCGATGTTGGGCGAAAAATTAGAACCAGAATGCTTCACAATAGTCCAGAGAACGTCCCCTGACAACTTTTTGCTTATTTTGGAATATTCCTCCCGTACAGGGACGGGCCCGACTTGAGATTACTCCGGATGTGGCCAAGGCTACCGCTGGCGCCCTCGGGCCTGCGCCGCACGAGCAGGCCGGGCGTGTCGAGCCCGCGGCCGTCGGGCGGAGCCTGCGGCGCGGGGGGGCGGTCCCCCGTCTGCACCTGCAGCAGGCCGCTGCCGCCGAGGCGCGTGACGTTCTCGCCCGCCAGCATCTCCACGTCCTGGGAGGAGTGCTCGCTTCTTGTTTCCCCGCCCCCTCCTTTCGAACTCTCAAAAAGTGCTTCACCCGGTGGTGCTTGTGCGCCAATGCAGATTCCTTTATATTTCGTCCTCTCTCTCTATATATATATATATATATATTTCTTCATAGACCGACGTATACAACTTATTGGTATCCGTTTTCTACACTTGTAGATGAAAAGGGGAAAACACACACGAATACTCATGCCACACCCCAATGTTCAAAGTTGGCGGTGAGTCTGATGAGCTGCACTTCGACCGCAGTCTCCTCCGCGTGCGCCAGCTTCGAGTTTTTCGAGGGGTAGTGTCCACGATGTGTCCCCTCTACCGCAGCATGAGCAGGAGCCCCAGAGCCAGACTAAAGACACCAAGGCACAAAGTCTCAAAGCCCAGCAGCCAAGAAGGTTGCAGGTCCCAGCGGCTGCGCTGCAGCAGCCCCGTCTTGTCGGAGATGAGGTGCCTGCTGGGGCAACTTGCCATCGCTCGGACGTCCATCCCCTGTGCATGATTTGGCTTCGTGCGTTTTCGTCTGTTCCACCAGATGATCCAGGCTGTTCTCGATGGTCCTTCTCTCCGAAAGAATGCACATGTCCGAGCGATGCCGAGGGCAGTGCTCAGGGAGGTCACCCCTGTGGGGGGGGGGGGGGGGGCGCCGCTCTTCCCCGAGGAAAAGCTATATATCTCCTGGCGGACGTGGGGCCCGCAGGACCGCCCCAGCAGGCCTTCCAGGAGGACCCCCCCCCCAAGGCGTCCGAGCGCCTCCTCGGGCATCGATTCTGGAGCCTCGACTTCCTGGAGCGTCGACCCCTCTGGTGATTGCCCGACCTGTTGGTCTTCGAGGGCATGGGCCCGCAGGACCGCTCCAGCAAGCCTTCCAAGAGGAACCCCAGGCATCCAGGCACCTCTTCGAGCATCGATCCTGGAACCTCGACTTCAAGGAACGGGTGACCCCTCTAGTGATTGCCCGACCTGTTGGTGCACCCAGGGCAGGTCACGATGACGATGCCGTGCCCGTACGCGACGCGGGAGATCAGGTTCTCGTTTCGGCGCTCGCAGATCCTGCACGTGAAGAGGATCCGGAACCTCCTCGGGGGAACAAGATCAGCATGAACACGAACAGGCGGTCGACGTTTCGTCCATGACCCTGCTCACGCCCCAAGCCCACCATGGGGTTCAGGTTGGGGCAAAGACGAGAAGCCTGCCCCAGGTGCTGAGCTTTTTATGCAGACCCTTCTCCTCCTGGCGCCTAGAGTGGGAGGGCAGCAGCACGGGTACGGATGGAATGTCAACCGCCGAACAAGCTGTCGAGGGTCCGCGCGAAGTTCTTGCATCGGCGCTTGGCCCCCTCGGCGCGCGGACCGCGCCAGAGGGGGACTGCGCCACAGGCGCCGCCAGTGGGGGGCCCAGCGCCGACCAGACGAATCCACGCGGAGCTCCGGAAGCTCCGGTTTCGCGGGGACAGCAAGCGACCACAACCACACCGAAGACGCACCCTGGGGAACATCTTGGGCGTGCCAACCATCGTCAGAAGACCAGAACCAGCTCGACAGCGGCTGTGGCCGATGTGGGCGTGCCAGGCGGCCAGATCGACCAGAACCACAACCGGAGTGCTGCGGTGTCGAGGTCGGCGGGCTCTCCCCCGGGGGACCCTCCAGAGGAGTCCACTCCGTTGCGGCTGTGGTCTTTTTGCTGCGCCGGGAAGCGTACCTGCCGATTCGTGCTCCTCTGCGCTCCTCGGGGCCACCCGGGCCACCGGGACCCGCGTCGGGCCGCCGGCCGCTCCTGGGAGGGCAAGGGAAGCAGTGGCCATGGCCAAGGCTGGCCGCGGCAGCGCGGGCGCCGAGCGTCGATCTCGGTGGTCGGCCATGGCTCGATGGCCATCGGAGCGCGTGCTGCAGTTCAGTTTGGCTGGTAAGGATATGCGCGGCAGGGCTGCAAGCGCCCCGAAAGCCACGCCGAGGCTCCTTCGAGCGGGGCTTGCCTCCGGAGCGGGTTGTGGATGGGCCGGAGAGGCAGGGACGCAAGGGTACCCTTGCCAGGGAGACGTGGGTGCCGAGTCCCGGTCTTGGTGGTCGTCCATATTGCGATGATCCTCAGAACGTGTGTTACATGACGCCAACGTGTACTTGCCCACCGAGGCCCTTCAACACGACGCAGGCGGTGAAACGGGGGCCAGCACAGGCGGTGCGCTATCGGCGGAGCCAGAGTGGGTAGACACAGACTTGGGATAACACACGTCCTAGTGATCATCGAAGATTGGTCGCCGTGACTTCGTGGATCATTCTCGCGAATCGTGGACGGCTGGCGGCATGGACCATGACCAAGATCGGCGTCGACCAAGTCCCCCGACATCTTTCACAGGGGATACATCGGCCCCCATTCCTAACTCCGTGGGGCTTGCGAATGGGCCAGACATGTTGGGCCCAACTCGGGGGTAGACGATGGGGAGCGTCCATTCTCGATAGCGTCCGAATAGCCCCCTGGGGGTGCATCCCGGAGATCCCCCCCCGCTTCTGAGCGGCCTCACTTCTCGGGCGGAACTCGAGGATCGGAGGAGAGAAGTCGCCTGCAGATCTGGACCATGGTCATCGTTGGAGGCCTCCCAGATGAGGCCACAGTAGATGGGGTTGGAGAATCGCGCCGCATCGGCCACGCCGACGGTCTGTCTGCGACGTCGTCGCGAAAAAAAAATGGCTCTACATCGAATCGCATCGCCGATGCAGCGATGCATCAGCGATGCGGCGCGATCCTCCGACCCCACCTGCTCGGACCCCAATGTGAGAACAGTATGTTTGGCATAGGCCCCAGATAGTGGTCATCAAGAAGCAAATAGACTTTGCCTTCCAAGGCGGTGGTCATCTTGTGGGTCCCAAAACCGTGTAGTGACAGACCGCGCGGTGACCTCGAAATCCGCAAAGACCTCACCGCACGGTCCGTCAGCGCACCGTGTATTGGGACCTCGGAGGCGCCGGTCGCTGGAGACGTCCTCGGAGAACGACCAAAACCGTGCAGCGACTGCGAATCACCATTGACTCACCACGCGGTGCGGTCACCCCACCGTTCAGGGGCTCCCGAAAGGCCGTGCTCATCGTGCTTCTCCCATGGGCGGCAATAAATGGGGGGCTATAGAAATGGGGGGCAGCGAGTGCTGCCGAAAAGGAGCACTTCAGGGCTCCTAAATGAGCCCTAGTGGGGGCTCCCGAAAGGCCGTGGTCTTGTGCTTCTCCCCCTGGGCGGCGATAAGTGGGGGGCGATGTAAATCAAGGGGCAGCGAGGGCTGCCGAAAAAGAGCACGTCAGGGCCCCTAGAGGAGTCCTTCAGGGCCCAGGAACGGACCCCTGAGGGCCCGAAAAGGGTACCTTCCGTCCCCCACCCTGTATCTCCCCCCCAATAAGCCCCCCATCTAGAGGACCAAGAAACGGCATAAACATGAATGTTTGACGGTCCGCGCGGATTTCTGGGGTCTGGGCTGGCGCGCCAGGGGCGGCGCCGGAGGCGCCGCCAGGGGGGCCAGCGCAGATCCAAGAAATCCGCGGGGACCGTCACATATTGTATGTTTATGTCGTTGGTCCTCTGGATGGGCCGCGACTTCTACTTGGGGGGCGGTAGATGGGCCCGAAAAGGGTGCATTTTCCGCCCCTCTTTTTTATCGCGCCCACAACACAGTCGCACATAGGCCAGAAGAACATCCCTCAAGAGCACGAGACCCTGCAGTCGGCCAAAGCAAACTGAGCATCCCAGGGTGCCCTCCCAAGGATGCGCGAGAGCATTCCGCAAAAAAAACGAAGAACACAAGGGCACCCTCCCCGAACCCACCTCGATCGTGTGCCTCGGTCCAACTGCAATTCGCACCCGAACAGGGTAACTTTCCTCCCCCCTCCACTATTGTCAGGAAGGGCATGTCCTCGTACAGGCGGATTCGGGACAAAAGTTGAAAACAGTCCAAAAATATCTCAAAATTGATATTTAAAAAAAATCAAAATAATCAAAATATCGCCCCCAGAAAATATTTTAACTGTGTTTGGGTATTCTCCCTGTAGAGGGACATGCCCGACTTACCTTGATCGCTCCCCCAATAAGTCGCGCCCAATCCCCTCGGGGATTTACTGACCCATGTCAACCCAGACCCGGGTCAGTCAGGCCTTGCAGAATCCTGCAAGTTTCTGCAGGATCCTGCACCTAAACCTGGGTCAGGGCGACCCTGGCCCTGCAGGATCCTGCAAGATCCTGCTGGATCCTGCACCCAAAACCGGGTCAGTGCGACCCTGGCCAAGCAGGATCCTTCAAGATCGGGCGCTCTGGCTGACCCCCGTTTGCAGTGACCCCTGTCTCTTGAGTCAGGTCGGGCATGTCCTCCTACAGGCTGACTTTTAAAAAAAATGCCAACTGTCCAGAAAATAACATTAGAAAATGGTCAAAAAACACTCCCAAAACCGTCCCCAGACTACTTTTAAACTATTTTTGAATCATCCCCCTGAAATGCCACTCTTGAGCCCCGATCTCGGGGGGAACGAAAGGGCGGGGGCATGGCAAAGGGCAGGGCAGTGGCAGAGAACCAGCACACGTGGCCGAGTTTCCCATCGCCTCCCGGCGCCTGGAGGCGCCCATGTATCGAGGAATGGGCCCCGCGGCGGGGCCGAAACCAGCTGCACGCAGCAAATCTCGTAACCACCCCTTTCCCTATCCCCTCCGGTCGTTCTCCTCCTCCCTATCCCCCCCTTTCCTCCTCCTCCTCCTCCTCCTCCTCCTCCTCCTCCTCCTCCTCCTTCTCCTCCTCCTCCTCCTCCTCCTCCTCCTCCTCCTCCTCCTCCCTCCTCCTCCTCCTCCTCCTCCTCCTCCTCCTCCTCCTCCTCCTCCTCCTCCTCCTCTCCTCCTCCTCCTCCTATCCCCCCCCGGTCGTTCGGCCCGACGATCCCCCTTCAGCTCCCGCGCCGCCGGGCGGGGGCGCGGCCCCGGGCGCCGCCCCCAGGGCCGGCGGCGCGCCCCGCTCCTCGCGGGGGAGAGCGCTGGGCGGGGCGCCGGGAGGCCGCCCGCCGGGGCCGCCCGCCGGGGCCGAGGGCCCCGAGGAGGAGGAGGAGGAGGAGGAGGAGGAGGAGGAGGAGGAGGAGGAGGAGGAGGAGGAGGAGGAGGGGGAGGAGGGAGGAGGAGGAGGAGGAGGAGGAGGAGGAGGAGGAGGAGAGGAGGAGAGGAGGAGGAGGAGGAGGAGGAGGAGAGGAGGAGGAGGAGGAGCAGCAGGAGGAGGAGGAGGGGGAGGAGGGGGGAGGAGGAGGAGGAGGAGGAGGAGAGGAGGAGGAGGAGGAGGAGGAGGAGGAGGAGAGGAGGAGGAGGAGGAGGAGGAGGGCCCGGAGAGGAGGAGGAATAGGAGGAGGGGGAGGAGCAGGAGCAGGAGGAGGAGGATCGCGAATCTCGCGCCAGCACGATCCGCAACAGCAATCCGAACCAGAGAGGTGCGACGAGCAGCAAGGGCAACAGCACAGCAGCCACGCGAGCAGCAGCGGAGACGTCAGTCAGATCAGCGGCAGCCTCGTCAACCAAGCTGTAAACAAAAAAATCCGCCACCGTGCCCCCTAGCACGTCGAGGCGTTGAAGAATGCCAGGGGCTGTCCGGTAAGATTTTTGACCTCTGAGAGGGTGCCGCCCCGCCCTCTACTTGCGGACTGTTGCACGCATCACCCCTCCTTTTCAAGACCACTTCTCTCGTGCCCGCTCGAGGATGGTACGCCTCCAGTATGGCAGCTAGCGCCTGAACCCTCATTCCATGCGCGCCCGCTCGAGGATTGTGCACTTCCCGCATGGCTGCTAACTCCTCGCCCCCTCATCCCACGCGCACCCGCTCGAGGACTGTGCGCTTCCCGCATTCTCAGGCGCTACCCCCAAGCGCACCAGAGGCTCCCGAGCCACGACCCCTCGTTCAAAACTGCGGATTTACGTCCCGAGCTTACAGGACGGGCCGTGCAGGCCCAAGAACACCAAGACGGCCCAAGATGCCTCGAAGACGGCCCGAGATGGCCCCAACGCGGCCGAATGAGACGGCCCAAGATGCCTCCAAGAGGGCTCAAAATGGTCAGAAGACCTCAAAAAGGGTCAGAAGAAGCCGAAATCATTGATTCTGCTTAGGTGATCGAATGACTTTCGCATTCTCTCCTTTTCGGGCTGCCGTCAGCCGAAGAAAGCCCAAGAAGCATCCAAGACAGTGCCAAGACGGCCCAAGAGGGCCTCCCGTGGGACCCAAGACGGCCTTAGACAGCCCTTCGACGGCCCAAGACGACGCCGAGACGGCCCCACGACAACCCCCTGACACCCACCATACGGCCAAGAGGGCCCAAGACGGCTCAAGAAAGCCCCAAGCCGGCGTAAGAGGGCCACAAGACGGCCAAAGAGGGCCCCAATGGGCCCACCAGACTGCCACACAGGAGGCCAAGACAGCCCCGAGACGGCCCAAACGAATTACATCATCATCAGCATCATCATCATCATCATCATCATCATCATCATCATCACCACCACCACCACCACCACCATCAGCAGCAGCAGCATCATCATCAACATCAGCATCATCAGCATCATCAGCATCATCATCATCATCATCATCATCATCATCATCATCATCATCATCATCATCATCATCATCATCATCATCATCATCATCATCATCATCATCATCATCATCATCATCATCATCATCATCATCATCATCATCATCACCATCATCATCATCATCATCATCAGCATCAGCAGCATCAGCATCAGCATCATCATCATCATCATCATCATCATCATCATCATCATCATCATCAGCATCATCATCATCATCATCATCATCATCATCATCATCGTCAACATCATCAGTATCATCATCAGCATCGTCTGCATCATCAACATCGTCATCAGCAGCATCATCAACAGCAGCAGCATCATCACCACCACCAGCATCATCCACATCCTCATCATCAGCATCATCATCATTATCATCATCAGCATCATCATCAGCATCAGCAGCAGCAGCATCACCATCATCATCAACAGCATCGTCATCAGCAGCAGCTGCATCGTCGTCATGATCATCACCATTGTCATCAGCAGCAACAGAACCATTATCCTCAGCATCATCGTCATCGTCATCGTCATCATCATCATCATCATCATCATCATCATCATCATCATCATCATCATCATGACCACCATCATCATCATCACCCTCAGCAGCATCATCACCAGCATCAGCAGCATCATCATCATCGCCATTGTCATCATCATCAGCACCACTATCAGCATCAACATCATCATCAGCATCAGCATCAGCATAATCATCAGCAATATCGTCATTAGCAGTACCATCATCATCAGCAGCAGCATCGTCATCATCAGCAGCAGCACCATCATCAGCATCATCATTAGCAGCAGCATTATCATGATCATCAGCATCAGCATCGTCATCATAATCATCCTCGTCATCGGCATCATCAGCATAACCATCATCGCCAGCAGCACAATCATAATCACCAGTATCATCCGCAGCATCATCATCATCACCATGGTCATCACCATCAGCATCATCAACTACATCATCAACATCATAGTCGTCAGCATCATCATCATCATCATCATCATCATCATCATCATCATCATCATCATCATCATCATCATCAGCATCAGCATCATCATCATCATCATCAGCATCCGTATCAACATCAGCACGAGCATCAGCATCGTCAGCATGGTCCGCAGAATCGGAATCGTCCTCCTCATCAGCATCATCACCATCAGCAGCATCATCATCGCCATCCTCATCATTGTCCTCCTCAATGTCGATCTACCCCTGGCAACGGGGCGGGCGACTTCTGGCGCAAGCTGGGGGCCGCGGGCGGGCGCGCCAGCGCCTGACCCCCCAATGCCGCTCTGGACGGCCGTGGCTGCGGGTCCTAGCCAGACCGCAGCGTCTACAGAACTACTTTGCGGAAAGTGGCATCCAGAACCGGGGCCCTTGCGCTCCACAAAGCACGAGAGCGGGAAGTGAGTACCGAGCTCGCGGTCCGCAGCGGTCCCTGGGCCCTAGGACCACCCTTATGGCATCACACTTGATTGCTGGCCTGCGTGCCTGGGTATGATTACTGGCCTCCACTTAAACCGGATGTCGCTGTTTGGGCTCTGCGGGCTCGGGGGCTTATGCGGCGAGGTTTTCGTTTTCTTTTTTCAGAGTATGCACTCCACCAAGCTCTCAACCACTCGGAAGTTGAGTTGGGCCAACCAGACTCCTAAATGCATCCTGGCGCGTGCGGCTACCGCGCAGGCCTTTGAATTGGTGTTTGTAGACACGCTCTCCTTCGCCACCTTGGGCTTTTCATTGCTAGCGCTATTTCGACGGAGACAAGGCGGCAGACGGGACAGCCCTGCTAACGCTGCGGGGCGCCGTGGCCAAGTTTTCAGAAAGTCACTCTCGGTTTGCACCGAATACCACATCCAACGCTTCGGCTACTGCACAGGCCTTTGAATTGGGGTGCCCGTGACCTTTCCCAGATGTCCTCCACCAATTCATGCAACGTGGTGTTTTTAGACACGCTCTCGAGTTTCTTGTGTGGGGAATATCCTCGTTACGGCTACTCCACCCACCATCACCTTCTCCTCCTCAGCGTCATCAGCACCATATTTGTCGTCATCCGCAGCATCACACTAATCATCCTCATCATCATCGTCGTCATCATCATCAGTGTACTCATCATCACCATCAGCATCATCATCACCAGGCGCATCAGCATCGGCATCGGCATGGACATCATTATCAGCAGCAGCATCATCAGCATCATCATCAGCATCAGCAGCATCACCCGCATCGTCATCATCGTCAACACCAGTAACAGCATCATCATCATCATCATCATCATCATCATCATCATCATCATCATCATCATTATCATCATCATCATCAGCATCATCATCATCAACGTCATCGAAAGCGCGCCAGTGGATGTCCCTGAATACACAAAAGGAGGGGTGCCCCCCCCCCCTTCCCCCCCTTCCAAGGGGGGGGGAAATTTTCGACCCCCCCCCCCCCCCCCCCGGGGGGGGGGGGGGGATCCGAACCCCCCCCCCTTGAAGGGGAGGGGGGGGTTCCGGACCACCTCCCTCCCCTCCCCCCTGGCGCTGGAAAGGGAGGGGGGGTTCGGACGCCCTCCCCCCTCCCCCCTTTGCGCCGGAAAGGGAGCCGGGGAAGGGGGGCCTCTCTCGCTTCTCCTTTCTGCGCCGAAGAAGGTGTGTAGGGAGTACGGAGTTGGGAGTGGGGAGTAGTGAGTAGTAAGTGGTGAGTTAGTGCGTAGTGAGTAGTGGGTATTGGGTAGTGAGTAGTGGGTAGTGAGTGGCGAGAAGGGAATAGGGAGTAGGGAATGGGGAGTAGTGAGTAGTGAATAGTGTGTAGTGTGTACTGATAAGTGAGTAGTGAGTAGCGAGTAGTGAGTACTGAGTAGTGAGTAGCGAGTAGCGAGTAGTGAGTACTGAGTAGGGAGTAGGGTATAATGAGTAGTGGGTAGTGACTAGTGGGTAGTGGGTAGTGCGTGGCGAATAGTGATTAGTGAGTAGTGAATAGTGGGTAGGGCGTAGCGCGTAGTAGTGAGTAGTGAGAAGTGAGTAGTGAGTAGTGAGTAGTGAGTAGAGAGTAGCGAGTAGTAAGTAGTGAGTAGTGAGAAGTGAGTAGTGAGTTGTGAGTTGTAAGTAGTGCGTAGTGAATAGTGAGTAGTGATGAATAGAGAGTAGTGGGTAGTGGCAGTGGGTAGTGAGTAGTAAGTAGCGAGCAGGGAGTAGCGAGTAGTGAGTAGTGAGTAGGGAGTAGGGAGTAGTGATCAGTGAATAGCAAGAAGAGGGTAGCGAATAGTGGGTAGTGAGTAGTGGGTAGTGAGTAATGAGTAGTGGGTGGTGGGTAGTGACTCGTGACTAGTGACTAGCGACTAGCGACTAGTGGCTAGTGACTAGTGACTAGAGACTAT